ATTTCCCCTCCTATAAAACGTACCTTTCTGTTGACAGGAGTGTTGTGAAGCAATTTGTAAAGAGGTTTAAGTTTCTAAGGCCTGGCTTACACCTATATGTGTTCTTCTATGGCCTGTGTTTAATGCCATGGTCTGTTGCCCATGAGAGGTATTTCTGAAACTAAGTTAAACCAGCGTGACGAAGGGGAAGGCTGAAGATGGCAGTTTACCTGGTAGCTGTAGGAAAGCACAGGGCTGGCAGTCTCTAGGAGCACCTGGAAGTGGTAGCCACAGTGTTGTCTGGCTTGGACTGTCAAAACAATTGCTTGGTGTAGTTCCCTCACTGTTCTTCATACCTGCCTTCTGAGAGTAGCAGGGCATTTCGCAGTCCTGTTTGCTTTGTGTTTTCTAAAACTCAGCATAATTTTCATGTTTCAGGGAAATCCATTATAACAGAAGCGTAAGTGCAAGAGGGACTTCAGAGTACATGGAGACATTAACATCCGTTGTGTTTAACCTTCTGTCCAGCAGCTTTGCTGGCATATGTGCTGTGCCCTAACAAAAGCCATGCCTGAGTTATACTCTATTTCTTCTTGCTTTAATTCACCATGGGAGTAGTTTTTCAGCTGAAGGTAAAACAAACCTCAGAGCTCCAGCAGCTTCGGTGAAGTTGGGCCTGTGAGTATTGCTGGTGCTCAGAGTTTCAGCCCAGCAATGTGTGGGAGAAAAGTAGCATCAATGGCTTAAAATAATGGATTTTGAGTCTCTTTATCCTCATGTGCTGAAGCTGGATTTTTAGAAGTGAGCACTTAGTTTTGTCAAATAGAAATGCCCTAAAGCATTGCTATATCATGATATGGATCAGACAACTCAAGAGAAAAGGCAGTAGGTTTTTTTAAGGGCATGTGATTTAAGAGAGAGTAAGGAAAAAAGATTCTGTTATGCCTTTGACAATGTCTTTTACCCCTACAGTAAGACTGTGGCCAAAACGTTTCTCTGAATTGTATGTTAAAGCTGTATATTTTAAGGCATGATCTTTTTGGATAACCTGCATATTTGCTTTGAAGATTCATGACCCAGAGATAACTGTAATTTTGTTTTGGATCAATGTTTTGTGGGAGTATTGAAGAAGGAGAGGCAGAGTCAAGACTGTTCTGAAACGATTTAGACTTGTGTGTAAGGAAGATTTTTCAACTCTATTATTTATTTTGTGTTAATGGTTTCAGTAGCTCAATATTCAGCATATTTTTAGTGGCCTGAAATGCAAAACCAGCATTTTCTGCATTTTGCACTAACTTTTAAACTGGGCAGAAAAGAGTCACACACACCTGCAAAGCTGATATGCAAGTTCTGTATTTTTAGCCAAAACCTTACTTTTTGCTGTTTAATCCAAGAAAGTTTCAAATGCCAAAATGTAGAATGTTCCTTATGTTCCTCCTGAAAACTGAAAGCTATCATAAAAAATGAATATGTTTGTGCACATCTTGGAACAGTGAAATAAATACAATCATTAAAAACATGTGAACTTAATTTTTTTACAAATATACTTTGTTTCTGAATTCTAAAGAACGTTTAGCTGCATAGAATATTTGAATGAACTCTAAAAAGCCAGTTTTATCTAGAACATAAAAAAATAAATGATGTCTCAAAATAATAAAGGAAAAATAATAACCCATTAAATATTGGCATTAAAAATAAAATTATTAGGAAAATTCTCCTCAGTCTTTGAAAGAAAACTAGTGACTTTTCACTTTGAAACAATTTTACCACTGAAAGGAAAATGGAAGTTTGTAGTAGGATTCGTAAAGGGTCTGACTGCGATCTTAACGAAGAAAAAGTATCAGTTCTTGATAATAGTAGGAAAATGTTCTTAACAGCTCCATTTTATAAAAGCAGCCTAATATTAATTAATGGTTAGGTAACACTGAGTACTCTGTTTAGTATTCAGAAAAATTAACATCTTCCTACGCTAGGTGCAAGCATAATTATCTACTCACTGATTGTAGGAACATCTGCTTATGTATGTGTTCATTCCTCTGTGGCAGTTATGGACAATATAGGGACAAAAATACTAAAGACTAAGGGGAAAGAGGGTTCATCTTAGATTAAAATCCCTTCTTTTCATCAAATGCCTTTGTATTTAAGGACCTTAGGTTTTCCCATTGCTTTTGCTCAGTGTTTGTATCTCAGGACTGTAAACTGCCCATCCCATTGCTGATGACTTTCCAGCAAGAATCACTGAGTTACCACCTAAGTTTTGTGATTTGCTGAGATTTGTTGATGGCTGGTGGTAATCACATTGAGTACCCTATGTTACCAACCCTCCTGTTTATATTGTGCATCTACAGTGCAGTTACTATGGTGAGTTTAGTTTGTGTGAAGTAGAATCATGGAATAGTTTGGTTTAGCCTACCTGTGTTGGTTATTGGTAGATGCGAAGATGTGGCAGCACAAAATCTGCTCAGGCCCCGAAGTCTGCCTGAAAATGTAATAAAGACTTTTAGCGGTTAGTTCGGCCTGAGTGCTGTCCTACCATTATGTCACTAGCAGCATTCAAACTGGGAGGTGTAAAACTGCCCTGACTGTGTATCTGCATGAGCTGCAGTGAATTCAGTGCAGATGTTTCTGTAATCACTAATTCTTGAGCAGATCTGATGCTGTATTCCTTTTCCAAATACTTTCCAATAGCTAGAGAGCTTTTGAGCCATTTATAAAGTGTTTAGTTGTGGCAGTGCCTCTCAGACAGCTAGTGCAAATACAAATTTCAGTGGTGTTTTCTTCATTCTTTTCTGCATTTTTTTTTCTCTTCCATCTCATTCTGGGCTGCTAAACGTGTGCAAAGTGGATGCACCAATATATCTTGGGGGCCACCCAGCTGGAAAGCAGCTTGACAGAAAATGATCTGGGGATCCTGGTGGACACAAAGTTGAACATGAGCCAGCCATGTGCCCCGGTGGCAAAGAAGGCCAGTGGTATCCTGGGCTGCATTAGACAAAGCATTGCCAGCAGGTCAAGGGAGGTGATCCTTCCCCTCTACTCAGCACTGGTGAGGCCACAGCTGGAGTGCTGTGTCCAGTTCTGGGCTCCTCAGTACAAGAGAGACATGGACATACTGGAGAGAGTCCAACGAAGGACCACAGGGATGATTAACTGGGTTGGAGCATCTCTCCTGTGACAAAAGGCTGAGACAGCTGGAACTGTTCAGCCTGGAGAAGAGAAGGCTCAGGGGGGCATCTCATCAATGTATAAAAGTACCTGAAGGGAGGACGCAAAGAGGGCAGAGCCAGGCTCTTTTCAGTGATGCTTAGTGAAAGGACCAGAGGCAATGGGCACCAGCTGAAACATGCGAGATTCGCTCTGAACACCAGGAAACACATTTTCATGTGAGGGTGACCAAGCACTGGAAGAGGTTGCCCAGAGAGGTTGTATCTCCTCCTTGGAGATATTCAGAGACTGTCTGGACACCATCCTGGGCAACTGGCTGTAGGTGTCCCTACCAGATGACTTCCAGAAGTGCCTTCTAACCTCAAACATTGTGATATGCCATTTTAGTGTCTTTTGATACCACTGCAGAAGCTATACCTGCTCCATCTCTTGCAGATTACAAGGGAGTAAAAGTGTTTGTTGCTGACACAATGCAATGTTGTACAGAGACACCTGAGATGGCTCAGAAAGAGCACAGTGTGCTTTCACCAATCCATGCCCAGGCAGGACATCCATGCCTTGGGTACGGACTGAATGTGTAGGCTCAGCTGGGCTTACCAGTTCCTGCTTCCTCTGTATCTGAAGTTGTTTGGCTGAGCATTTGCCTCTGCACCTACTCCCTAGTGCTGTGGATCGCAGGAAGTTTCGTAGTTTGGCTGAAATCGCATGACAGCCTGCTTCCTGCTGTGCAGGTCCTGATGAGCCTTCCCACACTGGAGATGCTCACGAGAAGACCTCTTGGTGGTCTTTAGGAGCCAGGCCCAGCATGATCAGAGCTAATCAACCCCATCAAGTCCAGTCTGGTTTCTGCTGTTGACTGAGATGGCTCTTCTCAGTACTTCAGTCCTTGAAGGGCTTTGTAGCTTGGGATGGCATGGGACTGGGCTGTAGCAAAGCTAATGAGTCGCACTCATCATGCGGTACCAGCCAGTGGGGTGCACCCACCCACCGGTTGTGTGGGAGTCGGCACAGCCCTGGCAGGGCCTATACGGATGTCGTGGGAGAAGTAGTTAGTATCCCTTTGCTGAGTCCCTGGTCTCCGTGGTTTTTTCCATTATCAAGCATCTCGCAGCCTCCCATTCCCTGAAAATAGAGAATGGTGTTCTTTTTGTCTTGAGTGAATAAGAATGTCCATATTTTGCAGTTCAGCATCTAAGGCTACTCATGTTTCTCCCCGAGTGCTAAGGATGACTATTAACACTGCTGTGAAACTGAAAGGATCTGAAATTGCCCTTGTTTTTGTGTGAGACCTCAGTTTTGCTCCTGCTAGGAGTTTCACGTAGGTCTTTATACTATATAATGCCAGCAAATTGAATTTTGAGTAAAAAATTATTAGTGCTAAAATGAAAGTCTTTTTTAAGAGGGTTTTGTTGGGTAAGCGTGAGGCTAATGCAATATTTATGTTTAAGGGAAATGGGGTGAGATAAAAGGATAAAGTTCTTCCTCAACTGCTTTAAAAAAAGGTAGCTTGTGATTTACCAATACCTTCCATTGCTGAGTTGACTTGGTGTGTTTGGGATTTTCCATTACCCTTCTTAAGGTAAACTTCTGATTTGTCTAACTGAAGAACAGTAAAAAAGGGGTTCTAAGCAAAGTGCAGTACTGGAGCAAGCATATGTGTCAAGGCACAACCATATCACTGTTCTATGCTCTACTCCAATAGTGTGTTGAAGATGTATATGCTTTAGGAGTAAGGAGTGCGAACTGATTTTTCTCTACTTATTATGGGCTTGGTCCGTGTTCCCCATGAATTTTGAAGCCCAGATCATTTCTGTGCACTTAAGAATATGTAACTTGCTATTATATTTTGCTTGTAGGTGTTTTGTATCTTCAGTATGGAGATGAAACAAAGCAGTTGAGGATGCCGAATGAAATCACAAGCACGGACACAATTCGTGCCCTTTTTGTAAGTGCCTTCCCCCAGCAGCTGACGATGAAAATGCTGGAATCACCCAGTGTGGCCATTTACATCAAGGATGAGAGCAGAAACATATATTATGAATTGTGTGATGTGAGGTAAGTAAACATGGAATTACGGCTGTTGGGTTTGTTGGGTCTTTTTGTAGTGCATTTACAGAATAAAAAGGAGTGGAGTTGATAAGTATCTGACAGATAGTGGCCTGGCACATAAAGGCATGTTTAGTGGTATCTGAGTAATATGGGAGGTTTGGTCTGACACTGCTTTCAGCTTTAGGTGCGATATGTGTTACACAAGCCCTTGATAAATGGTGTAGCTTGTTCAAATATTCATATAATACATGCAGGTTCACATATTTAATATTTTATTGAATTTTAACTGAGTCATAAATATTTAAAATAGGGAACACAAAATAAGCTTTTACAGAAGAGCTGTTTTTTCTTTGCTGGCAGAGCAAAGGCTGATCCTTGTGAGCCTGAAGTTACAGATATGAATGTCACCGATGTCCTCACAACAGTGCCAATTATTCATCATCTAACACTGCTAAAGATCTGTGGCACTGGTGACCACTGCTGCAGCAGCCCCAGCACCTTCCTGTTTTATGTCAGAATGCAGCAAATGATGCAGTCACTTCCCTTCAGTAATTCAGCGCTTGGTCAATAAATGATCCAACTAACATCTGCGTGCATCTTTCTATCCTTTATTTTGTGGGAGTGCAGCTGCTTAGTTAACTATGTTCCTTCAGTCCTGATTTCTGTGCTCTTTGAGCAGAAAGACCACTTTCTCAGGGTCCCTAGAAAGTCCCAAATCATATAGCAGCAAAGCTCTCAGGCACACCTCAGACTTGTTACATTCTGTAGAACTGTGCAAGGAAATATGGTGGGCCTTTTTGCCATACCTTTCATAAAAAGTTATGTGATAAAAAGAACGGACAGAGGAGCATGAGATGAAGGAGAAAGCAGAAAAGGTGTTTCCTCACTGCCAGTCTACCACTAGTGCAGGAATATGATGTGAAAGTAAGAGGTGTATTGTCCACTGCTGCCTTGTTTCTTCTGGAGATCGTGTGGCTCAGGTGCTTCTCCATATCCTGTTGTAGTTAAAATAGCAAGTTCGAGCTTTTCTAGCCTTGTCACTTCCAATTCCCCCATTCCTCCTCTTAGTCTTTGAACAGCACCGCACTCTGTTTTCTCTCCTCCATCTTGCTCTCCTCAGGCTGTCTACCCAATGTCTTGTCATTAGCCAGCCTCTTGGATTTCGGTTTCTGTTTTTTTATCTTTCTTGCTTTGCAGACTCCCACACTCCTGTATGGCCACTGCAATGCCTATGTTAAGACCCATCTGATTTTTTGCATCATCATTCATCATGTGCTCAAGTTTCTTGTACATCAAACAGTCTGTGAACAAGATTGGATCAACTGATTAAATCAAGATATGAGTTACTATGTCTCTGTTGCCAAGCGCATTATTGCCAGCCATCATCTGGCCCATTGCTCCTTCTCTCTCACTTTATCCCTCCATCTTCCCTTGAGTTTCAGACTAACAATTTATGACTTCATCTCCTCCCTGCCCCCCAAGCATGTGGTTGTTGATTATCTTAATACCACTCCACCTTGTTTCCCCTTGCTCTCATTGCAGGCGTCACTCTGCCAACCTCAGGCCTGGCTCAGTCGCAACATCTGCTTCCTCTGTTCCTATGCCTGTATTGTAGAGCCTTTCTAGAGGAAATCCCATGACCCAGCTGACTTCCTCCGTAGCAGAATTCCCTCCTTCGGTTCTGCCACCCTACTCACTAAGGGAACCTCAGCTTAATGGAGTCCAAAGCATGCACTACCAGCTGCATTTTCACCACTTTTTAATAATTTCCACTACAGTTTCTCCATTTCTTTTCCTTCGTCTTCACCAGATCTTGCCAGTGTCTCCCCTCAGAGAACAGATGAAGTATAATTTTTCTCTCCTTTGCTTGTTATGCCTTCCTTCAATTCTCTTCTTTCTTTCTTCTCTTAAACACAAGTCTTTCAGTGGACTTTTTAAGCTCTCCACCTCCCTTGGAGGCTGTCTCATGTTCCTCTGTGCCTCACATCCCTTGTTTTGTCTTTTTATTAACTTACTACTCTATTAAAGTGCCTACTTTTATATTGCTGACATGTTTCTGTGCCTCCCAACAAAACTGTCCCTGAACATAACATACATTTCCACTTCCCACCCCATCACCTTTCTGTCTTGCAGTGAGCATTCACTACAACTGTTGGCTGGACTTTTACTCTTCAAATTCTGTCCTAGACCCATTTCCAATCTGTCTGGGGTTTTATTCTTCAAATTCCAGCTTGTGTTTTGTTCCCTGCAATTGTCAAAGTTAACAAATGGCCAGCTTTTGTGAACATCCTTTTTCTGTCAGATCTATCATGTACATATAATGTTTTCTTCCTGAAACTTTGATCTCTCTTTGTTTCAATGGCTATTCTTTCCTGATTTCTTCCTGTCTCTCTCCTCTCATTTCAGGTATTATTTGAGAAGTTGTCTTCTCAAACATTGATTTTCTGTCGTGTTTTTTCAGGACTTTGTCTTCCTTCCTCTTCCTTGTCTGTACCTGTCTTCATCATCTTATCCCCGTGGATTAGTTGAATTACCATACCTACCTGGGTGACTCTCCCATTTATTTTTCAATCTTTCCTTTAGGATGGGATTTGTCTGACCAAATGGAGATTTTTACATCCACATTTTGAGCTAGTTGTGATTAAACCTATACAATTGTCTGATAACTTATACATGCCAGAGAACTGTCTTCCATGTGAATGTCTGTAGTTAGATGAACTGAATCCTACCCCTTCGTCCAAACTAAAATCTTGATCTTCTCTTTTAATATAGTCTCATAGACCATTAGTTTCTGTCTATCTTATGTTCTCCTTCGTTAGGCCATCACACTCCTTTCCCCTTTTTTTGTTTTTTTAATTGCTGGGGACAAAGCACTATCTTTCTACTTAAGCCAGTAACCTGGTGCTTTCGTTAAAGTGTTCAGGGCTCTGCATCCCGTGTAGATTTCAGACTTTTTCGGCATAACATCCTTATGATGCAGCCTTTCCTTTCCCAGCACATAATGAAAAAACAACCAGTTAATTCATCATCGTTTTATTAGCAACTGCTTTAATGGTCTTTTCTCAGCAGTTGACACAGGTAATCTTGTTTGCTTTTACCCATTCAAATGAAGCAGCAAAGATCATTCTCCTAGTTTGACAAGGAGACTGTTTCACATGCATTTTTTTTGTTTGTCCTCTGGCTATATCTTTTTCCATCTCATTAAATATAAACTACTTGTCTTCATTATGAGGGCTCCTGCAAGCCCACTTCAGTGCTACTTTTGATTTCTTGTTCAGCACCAAGTGCCATCTGCTTCCACTTGGTGGATGATGCCAATCTTCATTCTACATGTCTTTAATTTTCAAACAAGTGCCTTTGCGCTCTCTCTCTCAGGCAGCCCTCTAATGAGCTCCGAAGGCGTCCTCTGCAGACATGCACAAAGCCACTGCGTTGGTCTCTCTCCAGTCCCACCTTCCCACTCTCTATTGCACTGCCTACTCGGAGCATGCCCATGGTCCCAGTATCTCTTTATTGCTCCTATGGCTGAAGCGATTATGGTCTTCTGGCTGCTTTTTGTCCCCTTATCTTTCTGCGGCTATCCTGGTATCTTTTGTGTCTTCTATTCACCTTGCAAGCTGGTGAAGTGGTTGTATTCCTGGGGTGTTTGTACAGCACACACGGATCGATGAGGCCTTTGAACATGCCAAGAGCATCGAGGAGCTACAGTAATGCAGATAATAGTAATAATAAAAGTACAGTAATATATACCTGTTATCAGTAATGTTTATCTTCGAGTAGCAACGTGAGGTGAAACAGAATTCACTTCGGAGATCAAATGCGTAGTATTTTGGTGCTTTGCCTTGCAGCAATGTTTTACTTTAAAGTGTCATGTTTCTACAAGAAATATTTATGGAGAATGCTTTTAAAACAAACTCCAGTTAGTTGAGGTGCCATCTCATAGCCACCAGACAGAAAAGACAGCACATAAAATTTATTTAAATGAATAATGTACTGTTTCTTGAACTGAAAATGAGAGAGCTTGCTTTGTATCAGAAAGAACATATTTCCAAGTCTGAGGCAGAAAAATGGTAACTGAGACTCCCAGTGCAAGTCTCAAAGCGAAAGGGTCACATTTGCAAGACGGAAAACAGTTTATGTTACCATAAATAATAGAAGAACTTGAACTTGCCGCAAGGTAGCTATTTTCCTATGCAGTCTACAAGTAAACACTCATAAATGCTGAACTTCTCATCAGCCTTGGCGTTCTTAAACAGAAGGCACTGATCTGTCTGTTAAGCTGTGGGATTTCTTTAATAATTACTTGACATCTACAACAGCAGCACAAGTTCTGACTAGCTACCCATTCAAAGCAATCACTGATTGTGATATGACATTGTAAGAAAGAAATTGAACCTGCCCAAGAATCCTTTCCTTCATTTTTAAATGATAATCCCACTGATTAAGATCAGTTCGCTAGACTTGTAGCTGCACCTGGAGGAGAGGAATTCAGTCACATGTGTAAGTAAATTCTCTAGAGATCACTACTGGGAAATGAAAGGAATTGCAGCTTTGAAAGGATGTGAGTGAGCATAGACTGGAGGCTTTTCTGCTGATTAAATGTGAGCAAGAGATCAGCAGAACTCAGTGCAAGTGTCTAAGCCATAAAATTATTGGAAGGTAGGTTTTGAAACAAAATAGAAAACGACTGTCATCTAACTCTTTTCTAAATGTAGTAGTTAAAAATTAACTAATCAGTGACAAAGTGTTGGGTCCTAATTAAACAAAAATATTCTCTTAGGGCTTGCCATCTAAACCGTTTCTGTGGTAGCGTTCATCAAAACTTTTGCTTGTTTATTTTTTTTGTAATTCCTATTTTTTCCCGTAAAAACCTGTCTTTATTATAGAACAAGTTTAGAGGAAGGATTTATCTGGTACTGAATTTTTAGCTTTTGTGGATTTTTTTTCAGGTTTGTGAACAAGCTGGTAATTAGAATTGCCTGAAGAATAGCTGCAGTTAGAAAGACTGCTTTCCTTTTGATATTCTTGCTTCTTAGAATAGCAAAAATTCACGTGGGCTGAGTACACAATAAAGCATGTAAATATTAACTAAATCCTTTTGAGCGCTGTGTAAATGTTAAAGCTTTATTGTCTTCAAAGTGTTTTCGCTCTATGGCAGGATCTTGAAAGAAACTTAACACTATCTAATTTTTATGGGTGTGGAGTTGTAGCGAAAGAATGATACTTCCCATGGGAAAGAGAATCAAAGTAGGCTTTTGTTTGTTTGTGTGTGTCTGAGTTATGGCATTTAGGTTTTTCTTGTAGGTAGGCTGCAGACCTACTATGTTTGTCTGTTACCTGAGACTTTCAGGCAACAAAGTAAATAAAACTACTTTCATCTGTTATCATTGCTGATTCTTTTGATTCCAGGAATATTCAAGACCGATCTTTCCTTAAAGTTTACAACAAAGATCCTGCACACGCATTTAATCACACTTCCAGAGCTGTAAATGGAGATATAAGGGTAAGTACTAGTGCGTTTATACTCCTTTTCTCTCCAGCTTTTATGTTAGATGTTTACATTCTTAACTGTAATATGTACACAACAATTCATAAAATCAAGGGTATATGTACAACTTGTATACAGAAGAGGGAATTAATAATGCTTACCACAATGTTTCTTAACTGCTTTGCTTTTTCCAGTTACTTGCCCTGACCATTAACAGTTTTTTTGTTCTTGCTTACTAGCGTTAAAGCATGTGAATCAAAACATAGCCTTTAATTACTTATTTCAGGACATAGACAGTGCTCAGAGTTCATACAACTTCTTATTTTGTGTTTCCAAACCCTTTACAGCAAAGTATGGCATTACTAATGGAGTTAGTTCACTCCAACAAGGCTTCGACATGGACTGATTGACAATGGCTGAACAGATGCACCTAGCTTGAAGTCTCTTGAAACACTTTGTAAATGACCATTTCAAATATGAAATTCTGATAAATACTTGTTGTGGTGTAAATGGTTTGTCTTTTTCTAAAGTTTTCTACCTGTACTGAACAAGGACTAGTATATTTGCATTTTCAAGCAAACATTTTGTATTGGGAAACTCTAGAGAAGGCATTTGAACCATATTTGATTTCTCTCTGTCTCTGTCTTTTGCTGGACCATAATCTCCCACCTTGATGGCAGGAGATGCAGCTGTGCAGTGGCACCTCTTCCACCGTCATCTCCTCCCCACCCATCCTAGGTCTGTCCCCAGCGAACGGTACAACCAGATGAGCTCAGTGGGGCCAGAAGGGAATGCCATTACTGTCCTACCTGCTTTGTGGCTTTTATGTCTGCTCCAAACCTGATTCAACTGTGCAGAAAATTTCCTGTGAAGTGATTTGCGTAATTGTACATTTGCTTCTTGGTTTCATTATCAATTCTGAGCATGTCACACTGCTTTATTATTAATATTTTATGTACGTACTTTTGCTGTTTCACAGTTTAGGGCCTGATTATTTTAGAAAGATTGCAATAGTTTATTTGCTGGCACTATTCTCAGCCACCTCTCGTTTTTGTACTTCAAGTATAAAATGGTTCTTTTGATAGGTCAGAAATCTAATTGCTTGATTATTCACACTGCTGCACACACAATATGAGAGAGCAAATAGATGTGCTTCAAAGGGCTGATGTGATAGTTTTTAGTGTCTTCTTTAAGGTCCTGAAATTCTTCAGTTCTAGTTATATTCCTGTAGCAGTAACTGGATCTATCCAATACATCTCATTCAGATTCGAAGGCATGACATACCATCATTGTGCATTACGACATTAACTCATGCAATGATCTCACTGTCACTTTATAAAGTTGTGTTATACTGTTTGTGTTCCATGTGCAGTGGATGCTGAAGGTATCTGCTGTGGCTTTATTTGTAGGCTCTACCCCTGTTTTCGGATATGGTTAACTACTGTGTTAGCTGCATATATTAAAAATTAAAGATTACTTCTTTGGCCCTCTTCCAGGCATTTACTGCCTAAAGAGAATTGTTTTGAACACAGGTGCTGCTTCTGTGCAAAACCTGTACTAATTTGTATTGCTTATTTTAAAATACTGTGTTGTACAACAGATATGCACACTTTACACCTCCTGATTATGGCTGAGCTATATCTCTTTGGCCACAACTCAAAAATAATGGTGACACAGTGATGACCTTTGCAGAAGTGGTGGTTTCACGGTAGAATATTGTATTTTGCTCTGCTGAAATTCCAAAGATGCCATTTTGAAATTCCGTGCATCCAACAAAACAGCTATTTTCTCATTTGGCTTTTCCTTGGCATTGGCAAATTTCTTGTCTTTCTGGTCTGAGAGGTGAAGTCAGAGCCAGGATGTTGATAGGGACTTTGTGGAGAAACATGCAAAAAGCCTTCCCTTTGAGCTGTGTGAACTTCTGCACTTCAAAGTTATGAGCGTGGAAACAAGTGATTTCTTGAGCTCTGGAAATAATGAAACCTGTTTGTCTAAGGATGTGTGTCTCCTGGTTGGGTTCTTCCTTGTGCGGCAATGCTCAGATCCGAACTGAGGCTTTCCCAAAGTAGAGGGATTTAATAATGCTCTCTCTGATCCTCGTCCTCCGGAGACTGCAAAGCTGGAGCACACACTGCAACTTTTCCTCCATTTGGCAGAAGTACTGTAGGATCTTCTCACAAATCTCTAACTTGGCAAAATCTGTAGGGACATAGTAGTCTAATGGTTTCTACTCTTTGGTTAAATCTGGTTGAAATTTGCCTGCAGATTCACAGGTTATTAAGTCATGGGAGACAACCACCTGTCAGCCGATGGACTATCTATGCCGCTTTCCTTAGCGAACCAGATTAAAGAGGGTGGAAATGCGGGGGAAGTAAGTGAGAAACATGTACATTTTATGTACTGGTATTGCATGGTAACCAAAAGATTGTGGGAAAAGCTTTGGTTCTCATCTCTTCATTTGTGTTTGTGCATCTTTGCATTGGGTAAATTGATGTTCTTCAATTTCATGTGATATGTGAGAGCTAAATTCCTTACAGCGGGAAGCAGGAAGTAACTCTTGTAACTGCTGCGCTCTGCATGGTGGTTAACTGTTTCAGAAAACCTACAGAAAAGCAGCTTATTGTCAGATCAGTTGAAAGAACAGTACTTAGAATATCATGAATTAGCCGTTGTAAGCACAGTTTTCCACAGTGATACTGTGAGTGTGGTTGTATCTCCTGCCATATGTGAGTGAAAGCTTTGTTTTTTCGAGGTTTGGGAAAGTTTTGCCTTTACAGATTTTTCTACTGTTTGCCTTCTTGTCCCTTTGGAACATTTATCCCTGAGTTTGATGACGTTCAGGCTTCTATTCATGTGATTTATAATCATTTCCATGTAACAGACCCAAAATAATCTCAGAAAATAATGTTAGCTGCCAGCTTGGACACCTGTTTTATCTACCAAACAGATGTGAGACCTCTATAAGAATTGGCAGTAACACTTGAAGTATTAAGTATTATCCATATGGACAAGAAGACTCAGAGTGTGCAAGAGGAATGTGGGAGCTGTGAGTTTCAGATCTCCTTTGAAGCCACTCAGCTTTCATGTCTGTTAATTCTAATTTTCCTGGTCGTCTTTCTGTTTCATGCAGTTTTCTGAAGGGGTTGTGTTTGAGAAGAGGTTTGCTTGGGGCCTAGGCAAGTTCTAAAGGACAGTTTCTCCTGAACTTGAGTGCCTTACTTGCTCCCTGATACTGTGCCATGGCCGTTTACATCTTGAAGAGCATGGTTGGTGTGACAGGTCTGCCATCTTGAATGCTGTTCAAGCAAGAAGTAGCCATATAGTGCCGTCTCACTAAATGTTTGTGATTGTGCTCTTCCTTTTTTTGTTATTCCTTTCCCAAAATGTATGCCGAAAATCTGTAGCAGCTGGTTTCTTGGGAGAAATGGATCTTCGCATTGCTGCATTTCGTTCATTTATTCCTTAGCCTGAGCTTGTAATGTTTATCAGCATTTTCTAGCTCTCTGCGCAACAGTACTTTCTTTTGATAAAATACTGTCTCATGTCCAAAAGTTTAGATGATCTTTTTATTCTCTCTGGAATTGTTTTGAATTCCAGTGCAAATGCATGTACACAGCCATGCTGGTCTGTCCCATCAGAGTTAATACTTGTGGTCTGCACAGATTCGAAGAGGAAGTGACTTTCTCAGACTTTACTAGGTGTAGGGTCCACATTGCCTCTCCTCTCACATTTAGCAGTGGTGTATAGATTCACCATCAGCAGATGACACTAAAGAACTGACGACAGTTTTTTGTATATTGCTGAATGAATTGAATTTCTTTGGAAGTGTCACAGCTCTTTTTATCATGAGTTGTTTCTGTGAGCACCGAGTCCTAAATTACAATCTGCCCCCTTCTGTCATTGCAACTTGTCTGCGTTTCTGGTGGCACAGTTGGATATAATAATGTTGGTTTATGAGGTGGTTTGATCTGTCTGCCAATTTTGAGAAACAGGAGGGAATTTTTACTTCATAACAAACTGGTGGCTATTTTGCTTGGCAGTCTTTCTCTTCCCAACCACCTGCCGTAAAGTCTGTGGGTGACACTTTGTTTTAAAATGTTGTAGACCCACCATGGTTTTGCTGAATTCCCTGACTTGCGTAAGGCTTTAGCAGGTCAGCGCTTCATCCCAGGCCTCTGTTGGGTGGGTGGGCCAGAATATCCAAAGAATGCTTGTGGTGGTTGCTGTTGGATCAAGGTACACTTTGAGGTGGTTTGGATTTTTTTTTAGAGACTGTTTCTCCAAGAAACAACAATTAGGTCAAGCTGAGTTAGGGCTGGGGGGAGCGAGGGGTACCTGGAAACTCCACATTTTCTGCGAGTTAGAATGGCAAAAAGGTGATGATGTTCCTGGCGCTGATGGGGGTTTGGGCTGCCAAAATGAGAGGGGACGAGTTAAAATGAGTTGAACAGTAAAACGAGACAGACCTTTGATAAATTGGGTAAGCTGTTGTGCTGAATAGCTTCTATTACTGAAATTACTCAACAGCAACTTCTCATTTTTCCCCCTGAAAGTGTCTGGCTAGCAGGTTGCTAACATTTTAGCTCTCTGGAGTTAGATGCAATTTGTGAACTTAAAAAAACTCTGCAAGTCCTAAAAGCCCTCAAATAACTCCCCAGGAATTTAAAGCATCCAAGCAGCCTGAAATTCAGTGCTGATGTGCGGGAAGGATAGTTAATAAAAGCAGGATCGTCCTTCTGTGTTCTTAAGGTGCCTGTAAACATACATCCAGCTTCTCTGAGATTTTAAACTTCTTTTCATTGCATTGTGTGATCTTAACATCAATAAACATGAAAGTTGCAAATGCTGCCAAAATTACATTTGTTCATTGCATACTACAGCTAAAAAAAATAACAGCTCCTTGAACTATGTAGAGGTATTTAGAACAAAAGTATTTATTGGAAAATAATTCAAGCAATAAATTGGGTGAATGCTTTATAGTGCTAGGAGTGCCTATAGGACAGCATTTATAGAAG